CAGGATCTCTGCTCAAGCAGGGAGTCTGCTTCCCTCTCTCTCTCTCTGCCTGCCTCTCTGCCTACTTGTGATTCCCCCCTGTCAAATAAAAAAAAAAAATCTTAAAAAAAAAAAAAAGAAATTATAGAATAAGGAAATTCAGGGGCGCCTGGGTGGCTCAGTGGGTTAAAGCCTCTGCCTTCGGCTCGGGTCGTGATCCCAGGGTCTTGGGATAGAGCCCCACATGGGGCTCTCTGCTCGGCGGGGAGCCTGCTTCCTCCTCTCTCTCTGCCTGCCTCTCTGCCTACTTGTGATCTCTGTCTGTCAAATAAATAAATAAAATATTTAAAAAAAAAGAATAAGGAAATTCATATATGCTACAGTCACTAAATTAAAGTGCAATTGTCTAGTTTATTCTTTCTCAATTCTTTGTTATCACCTAGATCTTTCCCACTAGAAAATAAGAATGAGTTAGGCAAGTGAGCCTCAAAATCTTTTTATCCTAAGTGGACAACAGTAAAAGAAAGAAATCTGTCCGTGGCTCTCCACTTGCTTCCTATGAGGAAACTGGTTTTGACTCAGCTATTTTTTTTTAATTGGAAGCACTTTGTCAAGCATATATATCTCTTAGTACACCTGAAACTAATATAATGTTATACGTCAAGTATATCTCAATTTTTAAAAAACTTGAAAGAATGTATCTCGTATATGAGTCCATTGCATTTATGATTACAGAAAATTGCCAACCCTCATTAAATTAACACAGTTTGTATTTCTAGCCTTTTGGTCAATAAAGTCATCACATAGTCCCAGTTTATATAGTTAATTTGAATATAGGAAAGCTTGCATTTATAAGTATGTTTATTTTTTTTAATTTTTTTAAAAGAGTTTACTTATTTATTTGACAGAAATTACAAGTAGGCAGAGAGGCAGGCGGAGAGAGAGGGAAGCAGGCTCCCTGCCAAGCAGAGAGCCCAATGTGGGGCTCCATCCCAGGACCCTGGGACCATGACCTGAGCTGAAGGCAGAGGCTTTAACCCCCTGAGCCACCCAGGTGCCCCTATAAGTATGTTTAAAGACATAAACAACTCCATTTAGAATTTCTGCTATAACACTAGTGATCCAGTGGGAACTAACATCTAACTTTTGTGAATAGAGTGGTTAATGTCTAATTTGCATACATTGCAAATCATACCATTTACTGTCAAAATACTTATAAGCAGTCTGTCTCAAGTCCTCAAGTAACTATACCCCTTCTTTTATCTTTTTAAAATTTTTTATAAAGATTTTTCTTTATTTATTCAACAGAGATCACAAGTAGGTGGAGAGGCAGGCAGAGAGAGAGGGGGAAGCAGGCTCCCCGCCAAGCAGAGAGCGGGGCTCGATCCCAGGACCCCGAGATCATGACCTGAGTCAAAGGCAGAGGCTCAACCCACTGAGCCACCCAGGTACCCCTTAATTTTTTTTTTTTTTTAAAGATTCTTTTATTTATTTGACAGAAAGAGAGAGAACTTGCACAAGCAAGGGGAGAGGCCTGGGAGCCTGACCCAGGACTTGATCCCAAAACACTGACATGACCTGAACTGAAGGCAGATGCTGAACCGACTGAGTCACCCAGGTGCCTTATACCCTCATTTTATAGTTTATGGGATTAACTCAACCCTTATCTGAGTAGTCCAAATGATGTTAATAATCAGGGGAACTAAGAAAAAGCTCCCAACCAGTGCAGGACTTACAGACTTCGCATGATTACAAACATGTGAAAAAAGCAGGTAAGACACTTTTCATGTATCATCGCATTTATTCTTGAACAGTCCTGCGAAGGGATGCTAGTCCCACTTGGCAGATATGGAAGCTGAGTCCCAGAGTAGTTGGGACTTGCCCAGGATCATACAGTTTATGTTCATTATTCTACATTGTTGAAAAGGCTAATCTTTAATTCAAAGGACTTGGTTAGATTTTATTTCCATATTTCTGGTTAGCATCTAATAATAACTATAGATGGTTTTTGAACTCACTTTGTCAACATAGTGCTAGCCAAGTATCTTGGTTGTTTTGTGAGAGAACTCAACTTTCTACCTAGGAAAACCAGCTTGAGTTAGAGAAAGTGCTATGGAAAAGTGGGTTTCTCTTGTTATTTGAAATAATACTGCCACCTTGTGGACTAATGGAGAGCTATCGGCGAAATTGAAACTGCATTAGGACAACTTAACCTATTAAGTTGAGAAACTGAATTAGGACAACCTAGACTATTAAGTTGTCCTAATGCACAGTTTCAATTCCACCTGATTAAAATTCTCAATGGGCAATAAAGACAACTTCCAGAAATATTCTGAGTTGTAGATATCAGAAAAATAACATAACCATTGTCTCTTGTATCCATTGATTAAACTGATTGGCACCTCTCTCTGCACAGTGATACAGGAGCCCCGCATAAAAAGGAATGCAGCCGAGCTCTATGCACTAAAATGCAGCAATCTCTAATAAACACGGAAGAGCAAGTATAATGTGCTCCTATTTGTTTAGAAGTGAGGGCACGCGCACATGTGTGTATAAACAGGTGTACAATACTTGGGGAAGAATACTGCATGGATTGCTTTCCTTACCTTCTGCTCCATCCTCCTGGGTTGCCTTCATAACGACAGAGTTGCAAGTTTAAAACCCTTATTTCCCAGATTCCATTGCAGATAGCGCTCTGGATGTGAATCTGAGTTCCACCAATCAGATATGTTCACACGGGCTTTGGAAGGAGGAGTGAGGGAAAGGTCAGCTTCTTGTATGTTAGCAAGCTTGGTAACACCAAGCTTGTATGTTAGCAAGCATGGTAGCACCTGGGCTACCGATGTTCCCACACCCTTCATGCAGCTGCCCTAACAGGTACGGTGGGTGATCCTCAATGCTGATTATGGATCACTCTCCCTCCGCACTCACCAGGAGAGCTTCAGCTTTGATTTTCATGTCCTCTAACTGCATACCTAATACCCCACCTTGTTGGTCACCACTGATCACTGGCCACTCCCCATCATTTCTTGACCATTCTAGCTCCTGGCTTGCTGTCACGCTCTCCAGCATGCCTCCTGTCATAACTCTGGGCTCTCTCACCAGCACCTTCCATGTGTCTCACTACCCCTAGCACACAAACTCCTCACACAAACCAACAGCCCATGTGTTTTCACTGTCCTTACTCCCTCATTATCTTATTTCCTTACTCACCCAGCTTGGATTCATAGTCCATTATTCCATATGACATAAATCTCAACAACTACCTTGTCCCTTTCTCAATTATTTTGCATTCACCAGTGAAAACTCCAATGCTGTTGTCTGTGTCTCAAGGTATCCCACATCTACACCCTTAGCCAAATATGAATAGAAAAAAAAAAAAAACATGCAATCATGCTGATAGGCCTCGCTTCAAATCCATGACATTAATTTCAGGTGGGCCCTTAGTGCTGCTAGTAGTTCTACTTCATTCTCTAGTTCATCCATTCTCCCCAAAATAGTAATAGCTAGCAGAATATTCTACGTACTTTTACTTAATTCTCACAACCACACGACGTGATTTTTTTCTGATGAACAGATGAAGTAAATGCAAAATGGTAAAATAACTTGTCCAAAGACCCATAGCTAGTGAGTGGCTAAGATTCAAACCCAGGCAGATGGCTCCAAGGTCTGAGCTCTTGATCTTTCTAGGAGTGTATCGTGTCTTCTGTTCTCTCACTTCCAACACCTCTAACCTCCTCCTCCAACCTGGTTTAGCTTTACCGTGTTTCCAATAAAAGTAACCAGTAAAGAACTTCCACAATCCCTAACCGACACATCTATACACCTTATTGTATCTGTACCCATATATTTTGCCTTCCCTCTTCAACCATGCCCAAATTATTCATTCTCCTTTCTAAGCCAACCCTTCCATTTGGGCAGCGGACCCCAAATCTCCTCCCCAAAACATGGCCCCGCGAGTGGCCTCCCTCTCTCTTATGTAACTCCTTTTACAGTCTGCAGGGTTATCCCCATCAGCATCTGTTCTGGAATTTTTTCCAGTTTAGATCTCAAATGAATTATGGATCTCAAAACTTTTATGCTAAGTGAAAGCCAGCTCCCCAATCCTAAATTCTGTATGATTCCATTTGTATAAAATCATAGCAAATGCAAACCAATCTGTAAATCTATAGTGGCACAGAGGGTAGGTCAATGGTTGCCTAAGTGGGTGAGGCCTAGCTAGGGAGGGTTTACAGAAGGGCCAGAGGAAATTTTTACATGGGACGTATACTCATCCTCTTGCTTGCAGTGATGGTCTCATGAGTGTACATGTCAAAACATAAAACTGAACTTCTAAAATGTGCAATTTATAGCATACCAATTATACCTCATTAGTTATTTTTTTTAGAATACTGTCTTGACCCCATATCCCATCAGCCATTGCCCAGTTTTGTTTTTGCTTCCCTTTATGATAAAGTTCCCTCAAATAGCTGCCTAAACACACCATCTCATTTTCATCCCATTCCTTCTTTCTTACACTCCTCTTTCCCTTGCTTCACATCAGTTAAACCAGCCACCTTGCTATTCTCAACTCACCAGGCACACTTCTGCCTCAGGGTCTTTCCACCCCATCTTCTAAATATCAGTAAGCCTTGATATTTATTTGATAAATATTTATTTGATATTTATTTCCTTTCCTTGAGGTCTTTGCCTAATTGTAGCGCCAGTGAGGCGCTCCCTCACTTCTCCTTAAAACTGCCAGCCACCTACTCACCCCCAATAAACAGTTTCCCATCTCCCTCCTCTGCCTGGTTTTTCTGTCATTTATACCATTAGACCTGCAGTATCTTTTGTTAACTGAACTCTACCTCTCCCAAGAATATTAGTTCCAAGAGAACAGGGATCTTGTCTGTACTGTTCATTGCAATATCACCAATTCCCTAACCTCTCGTATGTGTCTCAGTTAAGTATCAGGATTATTGAATGTGTCTTTGGAGCTATTGGGCTGTGAATAAAGGAAACCACTCACACTTATCTAAGCAAAAAGAATTTATTAGAGGATTCCAAAGAGTCTCATGGACCCCAGAGAGAACTCCTAAGGTATAACCAGAAGGGAACCAGAGCTGCTGCAAACTATGATGGTTTCTCTCTTCTCCAGCCTCACCTGCTGAGGAAGGATGGCCTTGCCTTGCTTATTTTCTCTTGACTTAGGTTTCCTTCTTCTTTCTCCCTGCAGCTTTATCTGCTGATAATCCAATTCCCAGTTACATCTCCCAGCTTAGACAGGGCTTGAGCCAGATATACCGCCCCTAGTCTAGTTCACTGCGGTCAGGGGAACCAGGCATGGAACCTAGTCACCAGTAAGTGTCTTCGTGTCTGAGGTGAATATTTTGTTCATAGGAAAGACAATTTATAGTTACTTGTTATGTTTAGCTTTTGAAAATTTTCCTTAAGGCTTTAGGTTTAACTTATAGATATTCCAACCATAAAACTAGTACATTTTATAATCACTTTCAAGGGGGCCTTTAATTCATGTTTGATAGAGTAAATTTCAGTTGAATACACTAAATTTTAAATTTCTTTAAACAAACCCACTTATAACCCAAATTCCTTTAAACAACTTAACAAAATTTATATGCTTAAAATATTTTTCTTCTAAATAGCACTTCAAATGCTTAATCGAACAAGCAAAACCTTCCCAAGTACTTAACTCTTATACATGTAATAAATTAAATGTACATTGAGTTCCTAAATTCTCTGGAACAGGTCAATATTTTTACAGGCTTAGTAACATTTTAAAAATACTTTCAACTAAAATTCAGAAGTCTTAAAATCTCTTAGCCATTTTAAATTAGAATCCAAAAACCAATGTTACATACCATCATATGCCTAATATCCCAATTGTGTTTACATACTTTAAATAACAAATACCAGTTTGTCCCAATGAATATAAAAACTATTCTTGAAATTACCATGAAGAGTTGAGAGTTGCATAACCTTTTTGAAAATTCGTCTTCATTCTAGATTTCATCCAAGAACTACAGCACTCAATGAAGTCCTGTTATGAGACCAGTGCTCTAACCCCTGAGCAACGGAGCCTCGCTTCAATGAAGTCCTGTTAAAGAGAAGTACTAGGTTTTGCCCCAGAAGGCAGGCCACTCCCAGTGCCAGGATGAGGAAGAACTCAAGTTTGGGGAATTCAAGTGTGGGCTTATCACTGTAGTTAATTCAGCATTAAATGAGAACACCAACAATGGAGAGCTGTGATGAGAATCGAATAAAATAATGTATGGGAAAACCCTTGTCACATGTTACACACTTGATGGCAGCCAGTTTTAGACAGAATTTCAACTTCTAATTTTTACTAGTATACAAATTACCAGCATACTTACAAAGTTAAATATTTTCAAAAGCTTTTAAATACAGAATTTATTTAAATAAATTAACATTTTCAACATGAAGACCAAGTTTCTGTCTCTAATCTCATAATTACTCATGGAAGCAAACTCCTAGTTTCTTATAAGCCACTGTGCTGTAGGTTTGCATAAATCAATTTAGAAAAGGGAAACTGGACCCTATTTTTGAGCACATGCCCTTTCCAGACCACAGAAATATTTTTTTCTGCCTTAAAAAGAAATCTAAATTCACAGAAATGAATTTTAAGAGGAGATTCTCATTACAGAATCTCCCTTTCACTAAGGGTTCTTCTACCACAAGCAATGTTTCCTTAGATAATTAACTACTTGAGGCGGAATAGGAATTGGGAGAAGTTGGGATAGGTAGCAAGTGTGAAATCAGTGACCTAACAGTCAGTAACCAGTGACTATCCATCAGGAATTCATACATCTCAGAAAGATAAGAAGAAAATAAGAATATCTTTATAAAAATGACTTATATTGTCCTTTAAAAAAAACAACTATTTTTCAAAACAAGCTACTCTAGCTTCCAGTTCTAAAACACAAGATGATTATGGAGATTAGAGAAACAAAACCTAAATACAGATTACAGAAAATGGTTTACAGAAGGGTAGGGAGCTATAAGATAAGCTCCAACCATATGTATACTAGGTTGAAAGGCTATTTATTATGAGAAAAATGGCAAATTTTATCACTCCTCTGACCTGAAGCAAGTTGAAAACTGAGTAGAAAAGCTGCATCTCAAAAAGGAAAAGAAACATGGTCCAATAAGGTCTACCTGTATGTAGACCTTGTTCTGATGAGGACGGTCAAGATTAAAGTAATGAAGAAAAACACTGGAAGGGAGAGTACAATTTTCAGGTATCAAATCTGCCTCAGCACACTCTTTGAATACATGTCTAACTAGTTCAGAGTTAAACTGTTCAAAGCTGGCCACTGATTTGTCACATTTGGGGCCGATGCACTCCCATTACAAGTGGAAGCAGAACACGTGACCTCGGATAAATGATAACATCAAGGAGAGGGAGGCAAGATCAGCAAGGGTATGGAAATCCCACAGTGATCAGAGTGAAGAGAAAATTTATTTGCTTTTGCCATTTCTTTTGTTGATGTTATTTTGTTTTTTCCAGGAGAAAAAATAAAAAAATAAAGCCCTGTCCCTTTGGCAGCATTCCCAGTTGAAACCCATTCCAGAGTTCTGAATGGCTACCTAAATGTTGATACAGAACTTTGCTGTATTAAAATTAATATCACTTTGTCCAAGGTGGACAATATACTATGACCAAGACAACTGAGATCTTCTAGCCGAAGATACCATGAAATAATTCAAAGTATTACATGGAAAACCACGTCTTAAAACAAGTCCTTATTCTCCAATTCTAGATATTCATCTCTTCCAAAAAACTGCTTCTGTGAATAGTTTTTTTGTTTTTTAATGTATCAGAAAGAGATTCTCTTTCCAATAGTTAATAGAATCAAATCTATTTCAAGTTAGTTGTTCTTATAGGTCTCATTAAGCAGATACTATGATTCCATCTTCTTGTTTTCTAGAAATCCATCAGATGTATGCTGTAGCACTGAAGTGCTTTCTTTCCTTGTCATAGTAGCAAAAAGCATATCCATCATCCCCAAGGTTTCTAGTAGTTCTCTTTGGTAATCAATCTCTTTTTCTACAAGTCCTTGAAGTAACAAAAACTTTTTATCGACTACAGGTGATTGACCAATCACAGGAAGATAGATATCTAGAAAGAGAGAGAAAACACATTAACTAGAAGTATCTTTGTAAACAATAAAGGAACAGCAGTAGTTACAAAAGTATAAAAATATTCACTATAAATACATTGAAAAATCTGTACTTATTTTACGATTTGTGATTTACAAAAAAGAAACAATCCATCTGGATAAATGTATTTCAAAAAGAAATAATTACAGAAAGTACAGTGTGGAGTTCCTGACCTACTTTAATTTTCCCCTTAAAAAATAGTCATGGTCTGTTTAAAAAAAAAAAAAGCATGGTCATTGTAGATGCCTAAGCAAAAGTTGTTTAATTACAATAACTCTGATCTCAGCAATTCAGAGTTGAGCTACTGTAAACGTTTTACTTCCCTTAAAATGCTATGATTTATGTGATTGTTTTCTTTACAACTGCTACTGGAGAACTGATGAAAACAAAGTACTGTGATCTATTTGATTTCATTATTTGACATCTCTGTTATATCACACTTGGATTTTTCAAGGTTTTTTGTTTTTTGGGGTTTTTTTTAAAAGGATTTTATTTATTTGATAGAGAGAAAGTACAAGCAGGGGGAGTGGTAGAGAGAGGGACAACCAGGCTCCCACAATGCGGACAGTCTGATGTCTCAATTATGGGACTCTGGGATCATGACCCAAGCCAAAGGGCAGTCACTTAACCAACTTAGTCACCAGGCATCCCAGTTTTTTTCTCCCCCAAAGGTTTCATTTATTTATTTGAGAGAGAGAACATGCAAGCAAGAGAGCACCAGAGCGGGGAGGAATGGCAGAGAGAGAGGGAAAACCAGACTTCCCGATGAGCAGAGGCTAATGCAGGGCTTGATCCCAGGACCCCAGGACCCCAGGATCATGACCTGAGCTTACAGAGGCTTAATCAACTAAGCAACCCAGGTACCCCGGACTTTTCACGTTTTAACAACTACTTACCAATAATTATTTCAGCAGCATTGATCAAAACAGGGGCAAATCTTGGCTGAGACAGATTCCTACGAAACAAAATTTGTTTACTGAAACTTGCCAACTTGAAAAAAATCCTTAAAACAGATTTACTGAATTTTTCCATCAGTTCTCTATAAAGGTCAATCTAAAAGTAAATGCCTCTCATTTGAGATAAAGAAGTTCAGATGCAAGATATATGTGTTTCATAGACATAAAACATACCGTATCAAAAAATTAAGAACACGACTGATTTCCTTTTCATCCCGACCTGCAAGGGCATTTGCAAGGACTCCTCTTCGATTTAGCTCCTTTATGATGGAAACTGTAATCTCGGGTGTCTTTATTGTACAACTGGGCTAGAAAAATTTTCAGAGTCAATATAAACAGATAAGACAGCACAGGAAAAAATCATAGTCTTGGAACTGACAATTACCAAATTTAAATAGGTTTATATCCTTACAGTTTTGAGTCACAGTAAGGCACATGGTAAGTAATAAAATGATTTTTGTAAAAATATGCTCCTTGTAGGTTCATCAACTCTAACAAATGCACCACTGTGGTGGGGTATTGATAACAGGGGAGGCTATGCATGTGTGGGGGCAGAGAGTCTATGGGAAATCTCTATACCTTACCCTCAATTTTTGTAAAGCTAAAACTGCTCTAAAAAATTAGTCTTAATTAAAACACACTCATTCACTCACTCACAGACACAGCATACTGTATATATGTATACATGCTCCTCACTCACCTCAAGGACTCTGTCAAGTGCCTTAGAGACCCGGAAATTTTTCAGATCCCGGTCATATAATTCTAGGTGTTTCTTTGAAGGCCTGTTGATCAAAATGTCGTCCTGTATGACAAAGTAAATTTATAAAGAAAAGTCAGTATCTGTATAGAGTTTCATTCAAAATGAATTTTTTCATTGTGGATTACTTTTATACCTTGGTGACCCTGAACAGTGTAATAAGTAATGGGCATATGTCCAGAATGCAGACTAACTGAAAATGAAATGATCTGCTACATCAATGTGTTCTTACTCTCCTATGATTTAACTTAGAACAGACACACAGTACCTCACGCTGGGCAAACATTACTCATTTCAATTCTCTTCACATGGCAAGCAGTATGACTTAGTAGAAAGAAAACAAAGACAGGAGAAACTGATATCTAGTCCCAACGACTCTGGCTACCAGTAATGAGATGCTGGATCGACCAGAACTTATTTGCATCTCCATCTTCTCAGATGCCATACAGGGACATAACTGGCTCTACTACTGTTCAGGGCTGTTTAGGAGATCAAATCAGAGAGTGTATCAAAGACACTGTTTTGAATATGGTAAAATACTGTAACATTGTTATGACTCAGGGTATTAAAGTAGTCCTTATTCCCCATTACTTATTAATATCATTCCCCAATCTAGCAATCTGCAAGGAGAATTAAGGTACAGAAAAGCAAAATAAAGTTAAATCCCATGTGAACTACACTTTCTAGTAACACGCAGGGTTGGAGCTGGCTACTCTAACAAACCACATTTTCTAAAAAAAAATAAGAAATATGAAAATACCCTTTGTTTCATGTAATTTTTTCCTTTAATAAAAGTTCGATATGCAGGCCTTCTTCTCCTAGGAAGAGAATCCTTCTTTGCTTCAGATTTCCGATGTTTAACACTCAGTATTCCATTGGTCATTCCTACAACTATTGTTTCATCTTCATGCTAAGGAGCAATTAGAAAAATAAGTTAGTCTATTCCTAACCCATCATTTGCCCTAGTTTTTCCTCAAAACACCATTTATAACATGTTTTCTGCTTATCCAAACCTTCACCAAGAGTTTCAATCAGATACTCTGCCTAACAACAATCCATGCAGAAAGTTAGATAAATCACTTTTTCCACCAGAATACTATTATACTGATGGAACATGTTATACCTGGCATAAGTTATCACTAGCAGTTTGTATAATAATATAGTTAATGACGCTTTGGGAAAATTCTACGTTAATTTTTTTCCTGCATCCTCTTATTAGAAAAGGAACTGTGTGATAGCATAACTTTACACAATGTTGCCAAGAAAATAATTTGTAATAAGTTTTTCCTCTTCTAATTCAAATTTCTGTATGATGCATTCAAATATCCTCTTCTTCAATGGCTCGTGAAACTTGACAGTGGACATCCCCAGATCCTGCCCTTAGTGTTAACAATGCCTAAAGTGAGCAAGACCTAAATCTCAATTCATACTAAATTACTGGCACAAGTCATATAATAGAAATTGTCTTAACTCCACTAACTAATACGGCAAGAATAAAGTAAGATTTATTCAAACACAAAGATAAACCCTAAAATTTCATTTCAGTTTAACAGACAAGGGTAGTGAAAGCTTTAAAAAGAATTAGAAGTACTTACTGCAAGTGCAAGACTCAAAATTGAAGCTGCGTAATCAAAACTGTGGACTACTTTATAGGAAGTCGTGCTATATACTTTCACCTTCCTAAGGAAAAGAAAGCTCTGTTAGAAATTACCTAGGAAATGAGTGTAAAATGTAAACTTCCTATTTTTTTAGAAATTCAATGTATAAATATTAAAATTTACACTGCAATGAAGAAAAATAATGATTAATAATATTAATTACAAACTAATTCATCACTGAATTTTTTTTTTAAGTTTTTTTTTTTTTTTTTTTGACAGATCACAAGTAGGCAGAGAGGCAGGCAGAGAGAGAGAGAGAGGAGGAGGAGACAGGCTCCCTGCCAAGCAGAGAGCCCGAATGCGGGACTCGATCCCAGGACCCTGGGATCATGACCTGAGCCAAAGGCAGAGGCTTTAACCACTGAGCCACCCAGGCGCCCCTCACTGAATCTCTTTTAAAAAATGAACTAATAGCAGTAGCTATGTTTATATAAAGATTCAACTAGCCACCAGACCACAGACCATGAACCACTATCACCTGACAATGAAACCTGGGAGTATAAGGAAAGGTTTCAAAGCACACTGGGATTCAAAAGCACAGGGTTTCTCAACATCAAGTGATTAACACTGCAGGTCAGATACTTTAGCTGCAGAGGCTTTTCTGTGCGCGGTAGGCAGTTTAGCAGCATCCCTGACTGCTACGTACTGAATGCCAGCAGCACTCCACCCCCAACTTGTGACAACAACCAAAAATGTCTCCAGATATTGCCACATGTCCTCTGGGAAACAAAATCCACTCTGAGTTGACAACTACTGTGAAGAGAGCCAACTCACACTTGATTTTTGAGAGACGCATCTAAAAACGGAGCCCCAAACTGCCTAGTAACAGCACTTCAGAGAGTCTGCTACAGATTTACATGATAAATTCCTTTGTGTTAAAAATATATTCTAACTTTTAAAATGCGTATACTTTTTTTTAAGGATTTTATTTATTTGTCAGCAAAGAGAGAGCACAAGCAGGCAAAGAGGCAGAGGGAGAAGCAGACCCCTCCGCCCCCCCGACCCCCGCCACAAGCAAGGAGCTCCATGCGGGACTCAATCCCAGGACCCTGGGATCATGACCTGAGCTGAAGGCAGATGCTTAATGGACTGGAGCCCCATAAAATATGTATACTTTTTAACAAACATACTGAAAAACCAAGGCCTACTCTAACAATGAAAATAGGAAATATGGAAATAAAATTACCAAAAATAAATAAATATGAATAAATATTAGAACTGTGCCATAGTTCTAGCCACATGCTACTAAGCACTTGAAATGTGGCCAGTGAAAATGAAGAACCACATTTTAAATTTTACTTGACTTTAATTAACCCAAAAATTTTTTTAAGCTTTTATTTATTTATTTGACAGAGATCACAATTAGGCACAGAGGCAGGCAGAGAAAGCGGGGGGCGGGGGGGTGGGAAGCAGGCTCCCTGCTGAGCAGAGAGCCCAATGCAGGGCTTGATCCCAGGACCCTGGGATCATGACCTGAGCCGAAGGCAGAGGCTTTAACCCACTGAGCCACTCAGGCACCCTAATTAATCTAAATTTTAATTTAAAAACTGAGGTAAAAATACTTTTTTGTTAAACCAACTATATTTCACTTTAATCACTATAAAATATTATTACTGTATCACATGACATGTATTGGATGCTTGTCTCTCGTTTCTTGGTAATAATTTTTACATCCATTGTGTATTGAAATGATATTTTATTTTATTTATTTTTTTTTAAAGATTTTATTTATTTATTTGACAGAGAGAGATCACAAGTAGACAGAGAGGCAGGCAGAGAGAGAGGGAGGGAAGCAGGCTCCCCGCTGAGCAGAGAGCCCGATGCGGGACTCGATCCCAGGACCCTGAGATCATGACCTAAGCCGAAGGCAGCAGCTTAACCCACTGAGCCACTCAGGCACCCCTGAAATGATATTTTAGATACACTGAACTAAATAAATATATTATTTATATGGCCTAGTTCTTTTTGCCTTTTTAATGTGGCTACTAAAACATTTATAATTACATATGTAGCTCACATACCATTTCTGTTGGACAGCACTGTTTTAGAACATTAACAGAATAGTAATACCTACTTAAAGTAGTAATATTTGAATCACGTAAATGTATAGAAATTTTCACATGAAGTTTTAAATTTGAAAAAAAGCTAGAATATATACATACATTCATTATAAGTATTTCTAAATATATAAATGTACAATAAAGATTTTTAAAGAAAACAAGGAATGACACAGACTATTTTAAAAGATTAATGTTCAAATGGTTGAATAAAATTCCTTAAGTATATAAGTACACACTAAGTTACGTTAGGTGAGAAAAAAAGTTTGCTATATGTGAATAAAAGGTCAAAACTATTTTCAACTGAAAAGATTTTTTTTTCACAGAAATCATTTAACAAAACATTGACTTTAACACAAATACTTTAGAAATAACTCATTTCCTCGAGCAGTAAATACATGTACACTAGTAATAATAAAGGAAGAAAATTAAAATGCTAACCTGTCCAGTGACCCAGAAAGTAACCTCTGTCCAGAGCTGCTCAGATATAAACATGTCACAGTTTTATGATGATTTTTCAAAGACACTAGCAACTGTCCTCCTTTCAGCATGTCCCAGATTTTAAGATAACGGCCTCCTACAAAAAGAAATAATCATTAGTTTGAAATTCTGCCTCAACTTTCAATATTTTAAAGATTTGAAAAGCATTTTTCACTGAACGCTGCACAGCATGGAGGTGAAGTGAGGGGTCCCAGAGTAAAACTGCCTGGTTTCAATGCTGGCTCTGTCACTGAGTTTGTAACTGAGAATAATAATAATAGTTTCGACCTCAAAGAACTATTTTGGTGATTAGATATTTGCATATTTGTAAAGATCACAGAACTGCCTAGCAAAATAAAAAGTATAACCAAAAATGTTTAAGAAAATTGTATAAAATCACCACGTAAAAGAAATTTTATGTCACTATGGAAATGAATAATATAAACTATTTCCTAAACATTTTGTGAATCCAAACAAAACTGAAAAATTTCCCTATAATGTTTACTCTAAGAGTTAGAAGGGTCCTTAAAGGCAATTTAATCCAAGAGTTTAAAAAGAATTCTTTTAATATGGCATCTTTTCTTTTTTTTTTTTTAAGATTTATTTATTTGAGAGAGAGAGAACATGAGAGAGACAGAACATGAGGGAAGAAGGTCAAAGGGAGAAGCAGACTCCCCGCTGAGCAGGGAGCCTGATGTGAGACTTGATTCCAGGACTCCAGGATCCTGACCTGAGCCGAAGGCAGTTGCTTAACCAACTGAGCCACCCAGGCGCCCACATCTTTTATTTCAATGAAATATTAAGCAATTGTCTAAAGGTAAAATAGAAGAATGAGTTGGAGAGGGAGGAGCAAAGGTCTCATCTATCCTGACTAGGAAAGTGGGCCTGTAAGCCAATTCATAGTCCCTGTCTCACCACATGTGGCAGCTCATAAGCGAGCATAGTTTAAAACAACTGATCCGGGGCGCCTGGGTGGCTCAGTGGGTTAAAGCCTCTGCCTTCGGCTCAGGTCATGGTCCTGGGGCCCTGGGATCGAGTCCGGAATCGGGCTCTCTGCTCGGCGGGGAGCCTGCTTCCTCCTCTCTCTGCCTGCCTCTCTGCCTACCTGTGATCTCTATCAAATAAATAAATAAAATCTTTAAAAAATAAATAAATAAATAAATAAAACAACTGATCCTGTCCCAACTCTCATTTCCAAAGTCTGTAAGAGTTGACTGAAGGGACTGCCCAAGGTCATACAATTAGCTAGTGACACGGTGGAGATTAGCACACAGGTGTCCATCCTCCCTGTTCAACTTGAACTTATTTCCATTTCTCAAAATAACAGCAAGAAAAATGGATACATTTGGCAATGTTATCAATTTATTTTGAAATTAAATAGGTACTGGGGAAAAAGTATAAAACAGGGTAATTTCTATTGGGATTTTTTTTTTAAAGATTTTATTTATTTGACAGAGACAGCGAAAGCAGGTACACAAGCAGGGGGTGTGGAGAGGGAAAGCAGGCTTCCTGCTGAGCAGGGAGCCCGACGTGGGGCTCGATTCTAGGACCCTGGAATCATGACCTGAGCCGAAGGGAGACGCTTAATGACTGAGCCACCCAGACACCCCTCTATTTGGATTTTAAAATTAAGGAAAAAAAGGCTACACACATAGCCATGTATGTGCTATAAATTATATATACTACCTATGTATTCTACTGTCAATGCATTAATTTTGACTTGATGAGTGAAAAAAACCAATTTACTTCTTCCCTTCTAATTTTGAAAATGCTCTATGATCAACATAACAAAAAAAAATACCTCAGTTCCAACTCGGTGAAAAAATGTATCAAGAACCCTTTGATTCCACATTATATCCTCCTCCAGAACTGCTATTTGTTGGGTAATGTCATTCCAATCAAGAGACATAAAAAAAGACAAGCCTGATTCTAGAACGGAAAGAACTGTGTTTTCAAAAGCTGTCACGGATCTCTTAGGTAGGAATGCCAGGAATACAACCTAGATTTCTGGTTAAATATACAATGCAGGCTCTCAAGTTCTAGGATTTCAGATCTGTCACTCTATCTTAGAAAAATTAGTTAAAATAATTAACTTTTATTTATTTCCTCAGTTGCAAAATAGGGAGAAAACGAACTACCTTCTGTGTATAATAGCACAGTATCTGGCTCACATTAGGTACTCAGTAAATAGTAACTGCTGGCCTGCTCTACTTATCAGTTGAACAAAACCTAGTTATGCAATTCAAGGGCAGAGTGTTAAATTACAAAAAGTAACTGATAAAAGTAGTAACTAATTCAAGACCAAAGATACTAGCAAAGCAATTTTTTAAAAAAGATTTTACTTATTTACTTGACAGAGACACAGTAAGAGAGAGAGAAAAGAAGCAGGGGGAGTGGGAGAGAGAGAAGCAGACTTCCTGCCAAGCAGGGAGCCGGATGAGGGGCTCAATCCCAGGACCCTGGGATCATGACCTGAGCTGAAGGCAGACACTTAATGACTAAGCCATCCAGGTACACCTATAAAGCAACTTTTTTTTTTTTTAAAGATTTTATTTATTTATTTGACAGAGAGAGATCACAAGCAGGCAGAGAGAGAGGAGAGGAAGCAGGCTCCCTGCTGAGAAGAGAGCCCGACGCGGGGCTCGATCCCAGGACCCTGAGATCATGACCTGAGCCGAAGGCAGCGGCTCAACCCACTGAGCCAGCCAGGCGCCCCTATAAAGCAATTTTTAAAATACCTGCTGATGCCAGAAGACTTCCAGAGGGAAAAAGCAGGACACTTTCCACTGGCTGCCCATGCTCAACAGAGATCACACTCTTGTTTGTTCGTGCATCAAACATCTTCACAGTATGATCATATGACCCTAAAATGTCAATTTTTGTATTATGTGAGTTTCATTACTCAAACTCAGTATATGTGTGTTTGTATCCAAATATAAATTTTAAAAGGAGAAAAGGATGAAATTTTAAAGACACGTCTGTATGTTCATGAAGATACAGTACCTCCAAACTCTCTGGTACAACTGTTTTCTGAAAAAGCATTATACTATAATATAGTACACTATATTATACAGGATCTTAAACTATTCAGATCCAAGCTATTGTCACTACTGAATCACCTGGGAACCTCTGCACAAACACCCACAAACACTCCACTGCATTATCTTTGTTTCTTGGCCACTAGAGGCTCTGTGCAAACCAGAATACTAAAACCATTATAGTTCTGACACTCATGTTTTCAGGGAAGCCTGATGCTTCCAAAAACATTTGAAGGACAGCAAAAACAATCACCAAAAGAAAAAAAAAAATAAAACAACTGGATAAACATATTTCTTTATAAATTTTTTTTTTTTTTTAGAGAGAGAGATCACAAGTAGAGAGAGAGAGAGAGAGAGAGGGGAGGAGGCAGGCTCCCTGCCTAGCAGAGAGCCTGATGTGGGACTTGATCCCAGAACCCTGAGATCAGGACCTGAGCTGAAGGCAGAGGCTTAACCCACTGAGCCACCCAGGCAGCCCCTCTTTATAAAATTTTTTTAAAAACTGCTCTATCCCAAGAGTCCCAAAGCAATACCAAATTATATCACAATTAAATTATCAAGTTAAGGAGGGAAAAACAGTTCACCAACCTGTTACAAACAGATCTGGGTTCAGTTTGCTAGCACATCCACACCTCACATAATCAGAATGTTCTTTGAATGTCAGAATTTCTTTGGAGTTTGGAATATCCCATAATTTAACTGTATAATCATCAGCCCCAGAGACCACATGATATTTGTCAGCTGTAAAATCGACTGTATGAACTGCTCTAAAAAATCAAGAATCAATGTATTAAAAAGCAAGAAAAAAACTGTATGTCTGGCATCTTTTAACATAAAACACTCCTTTTCCCCAACTAACAAAAAAAAAAGCAGCTCAGTTTCAGGGAGTAATGGTAGGAGGAAATTATGAGATAAAATCTTTAAAACAGGTATTTGTTCCTAAGCCAATTTAAAATTCTAAATACTCCTACTTTATAAAGTTAAGACAATTAGTAGCCTTAAAATTACATTTTCTAATAATATGTTAACAATTCTACAAAACTGCTCAATAAAAGTAAATGTTCTAAATGTTGGAGCAAAGGTACATTTAATTAAATAAACTTCAAAATGGATAGTTCCTTACAAAATTCTAAGACCTGCCATTAAAAGTAGGATCATGTTAAGCGAATTTGTTAGACTTTAATTGTTTCGCTGATGGGGAAAGACCATCCTGATAATACACTATAAAAAAAACACTTGAGATTTTAAATAAGCAGAAACTTCAGCAATGAACTAGGTAATCTTGATATAAAATTATAATATAAAACTACCCTGGTCATTTAATTTATCAAGCGGCAAAATATTAACTTCAAGAAGAAAGAAAAAAAAATCAACCTTCCAACTTGACTTCAAAATAAGAACCTCAAAAGTAGTGTAGCCTATAGAGTTCTCATTTATAACTGTGAGGGTGCGTGAGATCAGTGGTTTATAACCTCGACTGGTCATAGAACTCCCTGATTAGATAGGAAATTTCCCTAGATAAACATACATTTCTTAAAATGTCACATATAATTCTAGGGAATTCACGAGTCCTATCAAACTGGCCACAGGACTTTTGATTATGTCTTAGAACAACCAGGATATAAAGTATACATTACTACATAATCTTTACAGAACAGCTCTATGCTTTTAGTCAAAGCCCAAAAAAACAAAACAAAAAAAAGTTTACGATGACAAAAGAAACAACAAAATAACCAACTGTCTATAACTGTATGGTGACAGATGCTAACGAGACTTACTATAATCATTTTGCAATAGACACAAATATCAATGTATGCTTGAAACTAACAATGTTTTGTTACTTATACTTCCATAAAAAAATAAAAAAATAAAGAAATTTTAAACTCTGGCTCTTACTTAGTATGACCTTCAAACTGCCTGAGGGGAGCTCTCCCACTTATATCAAAAAGCTGAACTCCACCATCTTCACTGCCGGCCACAAGCAGTCTACCATCCTGACGAAAAGTAGCACAGTACGCCGTGTCTTTAAATCGAGAAAAGGTTTTTATAGGTTCTTGAGAGTACCGGCCATAAATGTGAATCTACAAGAAGATAAAAAACATAGTATTTAACCAAATGGCTCAAGATCAGTAGTAAATATAACTACACAAAGGAAAAAGAAATTTAACATTATATTTACCCTTGAGGAAGCTGTGACAGCATAATTATATGGAGGCTGTGGAGAAAAATCTACTTTTGACACTGCACCAAACTCCTTGATTTGAACAGGGGTCTTGATGAAAATAAAAAATAATACAAAGGATTAACAGTTACAATTGGTAAGACCTTTGAAGCATTACATAATTTCTTACTGACATTTCTCTTTGTTCTTAATAACATTTACTAGGATGTATTTAATACAGAAGTATAAAGAAAGCAAAAAGGTTCAAATACCATCACCCAGATTTCCCTAGTTGCCACTAAAGTAAATAAATATATGACCGTAAGTAAATATATGACAACAAATATATGGGCAGACGCCCAATTGACCGAGCCACCCAGGCGCCCCTTTTTTCATTTTTTAATTGTTCATTTAAAAGGAAAATCACTTTTAAGCCTTTGTAGTCTAGAAGAACTAATTCTGCATCACAGCTTTCTTAGTTTTAGACAGGCAAAAAAAAATCTTGCATAATTGAAAAATGTAAAAATCTATCTTATTTGGCATTCATTAATCATCTATATTTTGGTAGGCACTTGTATGATTAAAATCCTTAAGCACCATGGCCTTTTTTTTTTTTTTTTAAAGATTTTATTCATTTGACAGAGACACAGTGAGAGAGGGAACACAAGCAGGGGGAGCGTCAGAGGGAGAAGCTTCCTACAGAGCAGAGAGCGCCACGCAGGGCTCAATCCCAGGACCCCAGGATCACGACCTGAGCCGAAGGCAGACACTTAACAACTGAGCCACCCAGGTGCCCCAGAAGCATGGACTTTTAATTTGAAACATCCAAGAAAAAATATCAGATATCAAATTTTCCACCCAAACTGTAAACTGTTGATAGATTCTTTTTAGTTATTAGTTCTCTACTAGAGTATCCAAAATATAACATATGCTGGGGAAATAAGCATAAATGCAAACCACTCATTACCATCTACACTTACCTTATAGTTGTTCCAGTACAGTGTGTCTTGGGTGATTTTTTCACCGAGTACAGGATATGTCTGAATAGCTGCAGGCTTATAACCAGCCATAATTTCATATAATTAAACTGTTAAATTGATGTTACAAATAATTATAGTGACTCTGCTTTATGTCTGAAAAAGAAAATATTTTATATACACATATTTTTCTTCAACCTGTATAGTTCCACTTTCACGCTGTGTCTTTTCAAAAGACTGTGCGGCAGCTTACAGATTAGTGACCAATAAATCATCTAATTCTAACACAGAAGTGACAATCTAAAGGAATTAGGAAGAATACAGACAGGGCTACCAGACTGCACCATCTACTCAGCTATACACAGAGGCTGTACACAAATGTTCTCACATCTAACTAACCAATTTACAACACATGGAAATAAATCTGGCTCAGCCATCCAGCAGCCAAAGCAGAAGTCCACTGGCTTATGTTTATTAATGAACAACAGAAAACATTAAGATAAAAGTGCAAATACAAGTTTCCTGAAACTAAATTTAGGATGACATTTAATCTATACGAACATAGTGTAGGGTCTTGACTTCCTGAAAGCCTGAGAAATACCAAGAAGGAAAACAAGGCAAATATTCTAAAAATTAAATTTAAAAGCTTAAAATAAAATTAAAAGCTAATATTCTGATGCAGAAGTTTAAATGTAAAAGCTTAAAATAAAAATTAACTTTTAAAAGTTTAAACAGTAAGAAAAATAAGAATAAAGCAATTCTGAAATTAAATTCCCAATTTAAATGACAGAACAGGATAAAAATAAATTTAAACTTTTAACTGACATGGTATTAAGCCAAAATGTCTCTCCAGGACTATTCAACTGTGAAAGAGATTCATTTTATCAGTGGTCCAACTCATCATCTATTCCAAAAAGCTTGAAGTTATTACCAAAATAAATAGGTATGACATACTCTAAAGGTTCTTTTGATGAAATGTAACAATCAACAATTAAAAGGAAGGAAAGTTTTCTGTTCATTCAAGTACCTACAATGCACAGGACACTGTTTTAGGCTCTGGAAATACAATGTTGAGTAAAACAGTCTCCTCACGCCTTCCAATATTCTCCATTTTAGTTGGTGATCAGCAGAAGACTCGGCCTTGACTTGTCCTTCCTCTTCACTTTTAACATCCAAATAGTTAACAAGATCTGCTATTTTACCTCCTTAAACTTCATCACGCCCACTCCACCAAGTTCCACTGCCCTTAGATCTTCTCATCTACACAAATAGTGCAGTATAAGGGCCCTTGACTCCCTCATCCATCTTTTTTTTTTTTAAAGATTTTATTCATTTATTTGACAGAGAGAGAGCGAGCACAAATAGAATGGCAGGCAGAGAGAGAGGGAGCAGTGGGCTCTCCGCTGAGCAGGGAGCCTCATACGGGACTCGATCCCAGGATCCTGGGATCACCACCTGAGCCCAAGGCAGCCACTTAACCGGCTGAGCCACCCAGGCACCCCCTCATCCATCTTTTAAATAGACATCAGCAAGACCTAACTACCCAGTATATCCAGCACAAAGCACAACACTGCCTGAAAAGAAAGGTCCAAGCTCCTTAACAAGGCTTCTGATCTGGCCCTTACCAACCTTTCCAGCTTCACTCTTTGCTATTCCCTTTAACACACTATTCTCTTACTTCTCTCACTGTCTTTGCTCATTTATCCACTTTGCCAGGAATGATCTCTACATACCCACTTCCTTTTTATCTTTTAAAGCTCAACTCAAGGATCACATCCTCCACACTTCTCTCAACTCCTAATCCTACTTCATTCTGCATACTTCTGTCTCTGTGCATAGTAACACTGAATTTGTAATCTCTTTTTCCCACAAAACTGAACATTTCGTATCACGAAGACTTTTTTTAAGTGCTTAAAGAAAACTTGGGGAAAGAAAGTAGGCACTGTGCTGAGTTCTACAGAAAAATATAAAATTAAAGGCACAAGTGGTGTCTATAATATGAACACTGCTACGCATCAAGAGTCAACAAACTTTTTCTGTAAGGGGCCAGATGATAAATATCTTAGGTTTTGCAGACCAAAAGGCAAAATGGAGAATATCATGTAGTTACAAGCAAGCAAGCAAGCAAAAAAAAAAAATCTCAATTTTTCACTAACAAAACCCCCCAAATAATTATGAGAACAATTTTGTAGTTATGAATAAATAAAAAGAATGAGATTTTTGAATGAAGGGAAAAACATTTCACTTATTTTAGGTTCAAGATTAGTGCTTCCTATCATCAGAATGCAAATATTCACTTGTAAAAACCATTCTAGGCTCACTGGCTGCCCAAGGAAAATGGTCACCATGCCAAATCTAATGTGTGGGCCTCCATTCCTTACTGTAATACACACAAAACCACCCCTTACTAGAATATTGGCAAAGGAATACATAACTCTGCCTTGAGAGAAACACTTTAAAGCTCTTAAAGTTTACAAGTGAGGGGTAGGGGTGCCTGGGTGGCTCAGGGTCATGATCCCAAGGGTCCTGGAATCAAGACACCATGGAACACCTTGCGGTGTTCCAAGCATTCTCCCGCAGCCTTCGGCTCCCCCTGCTTGTGACCTCGCTCGCTCTCTCACAAATAAATAAAATCTTAAAAAAAAACAAAAAACAAGTGAGGAGTAATAGTAGTGGTTTGCCAGATTAAAGAGAGAGACAGCACTGGAGATGAGGGAAAGGGAACATGACACAAAAGCGTGGAGGCAAGAAATGATGTGAAAATGAATAGGAAGAAGATGATCAGGGAGAGAAGAGAGCCGGAGAAACTGAGAGCAGATTGATAACAGATACTACAATACAAAGCAAAATAGCAAATATATGCTACAAATAACGTACAGGGTACTAAGAGCTCAAACAGATTTTTTTAATTTTTAAAATATTTTATTTATTTATTTGACAGACAGAGATCACAAGTAGGCAGAGAGGCAGG